CAGCCCCCTGCTCTGAGCCCAACAATCAATTATTGATCCTGGAGTATCTGCCCATGTCAACGGAGTCGCAGCCGCTCCGGGGGAAGGGATTGACAGGGAATGGGAACCACATCATGGCAGGAGCCCAACGGACCCACACGGAGCCTCACGGCCTCAGGGCCCCCCAGCCATTGAAAACCAGCACCTCCCAGTCGAGGTGGAAACCCGGCTCGGGCTGTTTTGGTGAAAGCCACACTCAGGCAGAGCCACGGCAGCAAACGGGGGGAGGTGACGCTGTGCTTTGGGTTTTGAAGCTGCTTCATTCCCACTTCGACTTTGTTTCTGCTTTATTTAACAGGGGGAAGGCCCAGCCCTGCTCCATTTCCTGCGGCACACGAGCAGCTCACCCTCCTGCCTGTTAGAAACCTCCTTCCCCCCCCAGCATCCACAGGATCCCACTTGTTCCCCCGAGCACTACAGCATCTACACCACCAGCCACATCCCAGCCATATGTACGAGCTTATATAACTGGGGAAATTGTCTGTGATGGGCCCGGGTCCTTCCCCTCGGGGTGAACGACACCGTGGAAGCGCCAAAATGTGTAAAAATGATCCAGTGGCCCTTGGGTCACGCTGTTAATTTTATAGAAAACCCACCGAGGCGAAGAACAGGGGCTTTGTAGACAGGCAGAGGATGGAAAACCCGAGCAGCCGAGCTCGGGGAGGCCTTAGGATGGAGCCCTCCGGAAAACATCCGGACAGAGCGCGGGGCCGGGGGCTCGATACTCCGAAAGGCGCTGGCTCCCCTCGCCGGGGGATACCCAGAGATATCCCGACAGCTTCACCAACTTTACATAACGGCACCTGCCCCCCAGGAACGGCGGCATCGGGGGGCGGCGATGGCCCGAGGGGACGGGGATGGGCGCGGGGGGTCCCGGCTGCGGGCGGGGAGCGGCCCCGGGAGGAACCGGGAGGAGCCGGGAAGCACCGGGAAGGGCCGGGAGGAGCCGGGAAGGGTCGGGAGAAGCCGGGAAAAGCCGGGAGGAGCTGTCCGTTTCAGCACCGGCCCCGCCGGAGCCGCGGAAGGTCCCCCCGGTCCCTCCAGCCTCGCCCAGCCCTCCCGCCCGGGGCACCGCTGGAGGAACCGGCCCCCAGCGCTTCCATCACCCGCACAGGGAAAAAGGACCATTCCCGGGGCCCCATCCCCGCAGGGCTGCCAGGGAAAACCACCACCGCCACGCCTTCCCCCCCTTTTCACCCCCGGAGACACCCGGCAGGACGAGACGGGGACCCCCCCGCCCGCCCGTCCCTCGCCATCGGAGCTGCCCGGTGTGAACCGAGGACGTCCCGGTCACGGCTCCCGGTGCGGCTGGAATGCTGCAGTGTTCCCGGAGCGGGTGGACGCGGATACACAAGAGCACGACCACAACCGGCGCCCCAAAAACCCGCCCCACCCGTGCGGCCCCTCGGTGGGGGCTCCCGCAGACCCCACGGGGGAGGGAACACAAGGATGAGCCTCCCACGCCTGGGATCACCCTCCAAAATTCAGCTCAGGGCCCGAGGGGGGGGGAATCCGGCTGCTGGCCCTCGCACACGCTCCCCTTTCCCGGAGTTTCCGACTTCACCCCGGCTCATCCGCAGCCGCTGCCGTGGAGCATCTCCCGGCGTCCCCACCCCCACATCAGCCGGGCATCGCTTGCACCAGAACGCAGGGGGAGGGGAGGGGAGGAAGACACCCAGATTTTTAACAGGGAAAAAAAAAAAAAACAACCACCCAAACCTGTGAACGTGCAGGAAAAGAAAAAATAATATAAACCAAACCTCTACCCCCCCCAAAAAAAAATCTGTGCGGTGGAAGGAAGGAGGGAGGGAGGGAGAGAGGGAAGAGCACAACCACGATGCTGACCCAACATCTGGGTCAGCTGGAACATCAAGGCCGCCCCGAGCATCGCCCCCCAACCCCAAAAAAAACCCCCCTGTCCTCCAAGTTGTCCCCCATCCCCGGGCGGTGGGGGGAGCGGGGGGCGGCGGGGGGACGGGGCAGCGCTGCAGCGAGGGCCGGGGGGGAAGGGAAGGGACAGCGGCGAGAACTCGGGGCTCTCCCTCCCCACAATGCAGACAAAGAGCGCGGCCCCCAATTTGGGGCCTGGGAGGAGGGTCCCGCGGGCCCCCCCGGGGCAGCGGGGTGGAGGGGGGATGCAGGGAGGGATGCAGGGGATGGTGGAAGGATGGGTGGAGGGAGGGAGGGAGGGATGCGGGGAGCGATGGAGGGATGGGTGGAGGGGGCCCGAACGGGGCTGCAGGCCCAGGGTGGGTACAGGGGGGCTCCTGCCCCCTCCCAGCCCCAGCCCCCCGGGCGGGGGGACACTCACCCCGGGCCTGGCACCGTCCCCCCCTCTCCGCGGGGCCGGGGCCCTCGGGGTGCAGCGGACGGACCTTCCCCGGCCCGGGTAGGGGCTGCCGGAGCCCCCCGATTAGAGCTCGAGGGGCAGCGCTGGGCGGGCAGAGAACCGGCTCCCCCCGACCCCCTCCCCGGGTGACCGGGCATCCCCCGAGGGGGCGGGTGGGGAAAAGCCCCGGGACCCCCCCTCTCCCCGCGGCGGGTTTTGGGGCTGGGGGTGCTCCCCGATCTCCCCCCTCGCC